TCTTTCAGTCTCAACTTTCTTTTCTGCTACTTAAAATATAATAAATAAAAAACAAGGAAAATATTTTCTCGTATGTATGCTCAGTGAACCATAAATTATTTTCTACTGTGACGTTCCTTCAGGCGCATACTAATCAATTAACGTTAATCCGCATCAAAATCCTGAGATAACAATTAGTCAAACGGTGACCTCTTTCCTCGCCTTTTATTTATTGCCAATGGAACAGTGTAATTAGAGCACCTTTGGGATGTTGCCCGTGGTAACCTCTGATCACAGCTCCACACACACACACACACACACAATAAGTGATGCGTCCTCTGGGGGCCTTCCTGGCCTTGCTGCAGTGGGTGGTAGAAGCTCTGGCTATTGATTTGAATGCTGGGCTGATGAATCTCAAGGGAACCAATAAAAATAATTACGAAGAAGATCATCAAAGCTCCCCAGCCTCCTGCTTTGCACATGAATAAATGCGTGGCAGCGCTAATAGAAGAGCGTTGGAGGTGGCATACGTGGTCATCTGTGCCCAGAAGAAAATTTTATTGCTCTGAGGTTTTATTGCTCTTTCATGGTTCTCAGTTATGTTTCTTTGAAGTATCAGATGTTTCTCCTAAAAACCCTTGGGGAAACTTTTAAATGTAGAGCTGTATATTTATGTAGAGAAGCTTAGATAATTTGGTCACTGATCTGAACAGAGTTTGAGATCTTTTCTGAAACTCTTGAGTAGATGTGTGTGATTTCCTGGATCTCAGGAGAGTTGTGATAGTCTCCATTTGTTCTCATTGGTGTCTCAGAGAAACAGTTTGAGATTAAAGAGGTCCTGTTTGTGGGTGAGGAGATGCTATGACTCCTATAGCGAGGAGATGAAGAGAACTTTATGGAAATGTGCTGTAGATGGCTCAGCAGCAGGCAACAACATTTCAAACTTTTTCTGTCCTCCACCATCCATTAAGTGGTGGCACAATATGTACAAGGATGAAATTAGTCCTCTCGCCATGCAGGAGACAAGAGGGAGGTTCTGCAAGTGAGCTATTGTTCTTAACCAGCCTGTAAACAATGACTAACATGACAGTTCACCCCCTCTAGGCTTTCTCATCCATAGAAAACACATCCTCCTCCTCGGCTGATTCTGTAGGCTGCATATGGCAAGGAGGAGGAGAGGAAGACCGGCTTTAGGAAGCTTAGATGAGGTGGAGGTAGATTATGCAATTTCCATTTTTCTTTTTTTCCTAGTAAAATCTACTTTCTGGAAAATGGATGGATATAAATTGCATCAGTGCGTTACATGTCGTATCAAGAATGATTATGAATGCATGAATCAAACTCGATTGGAATGTCGACAGTTTCTCACATGGATTTCCACGCATCATGTGTGCGTTCCCCAGTCCAAATGTGCGTGCATATGCATATATGCCTTTGTGTGTGTGGGCTGGCTGGGGGGTCTAAGGGAAGAGGAAATGGTTCTTTGAACGGTGTGCGCTCAGAGACATAGTAAAGAGCACTCTCCCAGGCGGCCAAGAGCACTTGATTGTACAACAAGCAATGATCACATTAAGAGAGGGCAGCAGGAAGAGAGAGAGAGGGAAACAAAGAGACAGTCAGAGAGTGGGAAGGAAATAAATTGACTTTGCCAGTGGCTTAGTCTGCTGATGGGAGAAAATATAGAAAAAATTACTTATTCACACACAAGTGTGTTAGGGGTAATGGAG